GCCAGGGGTTTCATTCCTGTTGCATTCACACCGTTTACTGTTTGACAGATTGTTGTGACAGCTATTTTATGGCCCTTTTGTCTCACTCACAAACAATGCAAATGTTACCTCAGGGCAAGTGAAAGGTGAGGATATTACCACCAGGTTTCCTGCCATTGTGAGGAAATGGAGACAACACGGAGAAGAGGGTCTTTGTGTTGATATTTAAATCACGATTGGTGGTGTTTATTGGTGATAGAGAAGGGGCATTGTTTTGTGATCACAACAATTGACACAATATGGTTTGGGGTAGACACACGACAGCTTTCCAACTTTCCCACAAGCATTACTAATCTGTATTTCCTTTGGTGGTGATGTCAGTTACATTTCATTTAGCTGATGCAAAAGACAGTTTGTCCATTGATGTTTCTAATTATATGAAGAAAATATATCTTATTGTTTATATATCGTTAGCAACATGACTACTTCTAGCAGGTTTGCTAACATATCTGTCCAAAGAAAGGAAACAATTGTAATCATCTCAAAGAAATGAAAACCCTAAGTTGGTGCCATGATAAAAGCAGAGATAAACACCTGGTAGTAATAACAGGAAGGCAGGTTTTGTAATTGAAGCATGTAGCTTGTAGCATGTTTTCAACCCAGTCTCACGGCATTTCGTGTCACGAAATTAATTTAATCTATTGATTCGTGTTCACCAACACGATTTTCACCTTTTTTTCGTGTCACACAGAACGATTTTAAATGCAATGTATTTCTATTGGTAGTATGTTTTGTGCCTGCAACACGTCTTTTTGTCCGGTCGGGTCTTGGAAGACCAGAAGCTGTGTGGTTCATAAAAACATGTTCTTACTCAATATCTTACCCTAAGCCTAACCCTATCCCTTTTCTTATAAATTGTATAATGTCTGAGTTTTTTTGCCGTCAGTGAGGAAAAGAAATGGCTCAGAGCCTCAGAATACTGACATCTGTATTTTATGTCATCTCTTTTTCCTTCTAATTTGTTATTATTTGGTGCAGGCACGAAACATACTACCAATAGAAATACATTGCTTCTAAAATCGTTCTGTGTCAGAATACTTAAATCTGTATTTTTTTTAATGTGTTTTTCCTTCTAATTTGTTATTATTTACATTGCTTTTAAAATCGTTCTGTGTGACACGAAAAAAATGGCGAAATCGTGTTGGTGAACACGAATCAATAGATTAATTTCGTGACTATAACACGAAATGCCGTGAGACTGTGTTGCATGTTTTAGCAACTCTCCCTGTTGCTTCCATCAACGTGGCTCTTCAGCTGAAGACGCAGGATATGTAACGTTACTCGGGTTGTTCAGCTACCTGGGGAAAGCTACTGTAAGATGTTGAGTGTTAGCTGAATGCACTCTGTTAGGCAGTGATGCTGAATATGTTCAGGGCTTTTATTGTGAAAGGGAAATTGCGACCTAGATGAATAATTGCATCGTGCAAGCAAGGATTATAGGAATCCAAGATACCATGACGTAAAAATGTTTTCTGTAGCTAGCTTAATGTTGTTTCATACAATGTGTTGAAGCACTGAATATTCATTGGACTCTTCAATGAGCAGTGCTTTCTGTTTCTCTGGGTAATGAGCTGCTGGATATCCTCCTTTTAATCACTTCGGTCCTGCTATCAGAAAGTCTCTCTTTCCATTTTCCATTTCTCTCCCTCATGCTGTCTCTCAGATCGCAGAGCTTGCAGAAGTCCAGTGAGGGTTTCTCTCTTTTCTTTCCTCCTCTCTCTCAGCCCTTTCTTTTGGGGATTTAGCAAAGAATTGTGGGTTTAATGTTTAATCTGAGCAACCGTGAAAAATGAAGCAGAGGGGAAGAAAAAAAAACCCAGATGAGAAATGGAGAAATGGAGGAATACTAGAGGGAGTGGGTGGAAATGGAGCCGAAAAAGAAGGGTGAGGCGGAAAGATACAAGGGTGTGGTTGATGTGAGGAGTGAGAGAGGAGGGGGAGGGGGGGGGGGGGAGAAAAAAGGTGAAAAGGTGGTGTGGTCTTGAGATAGAGAGAACATGAAGAGGTGGGGGGTGAAGTGATGGAAAGATGAACGGACTAGGAGTGGTGGTGCAGGGTGGGGAACGAGTGGAACAAACATGGAGTCAGCTGATAGCTCCCAGTTTCCATGGCAACTGAAGGCCTTTCCCACCCACTCTCTCTTTCACTCTTTTCTCTCTGCCTCATCCGCTCCCTCACTTCTTTCACACTTCATTTTCTTTTCAGTGTTGTTCTTGTTGTTGGGGGGGCTGTCTCTATAATCACGTTACGGCCCTGCTCGTCCCTTTTCGCCCCGCTGATCCTCCCTTTCATTTCCTCTTCTCTCTTCTCCTATTGGCTGGTTATCGGGCTCCTGAAATCCCTCCTCACCTCAGCCAAGTTTGGTGCAGTTTCTGTGTGTTTGTCTTGTATGTGTTTGCTTCCTCTGTCCTCTCCTTATTCCCTATGGGAGCTCCTCCATCCCCTCTTTACCTGAACCAAGTTTGAGTCAAGTTGGATCGTTTTTTTTTACGTGAGCATATCCAAACCTTTGTATTGTCACTTCAAGAAAAACACCAATGCTTGTAAGGAATACAACCATTTTTTTAATTGGCTGCTTTCCCCCTTTATTATTATTCAGTGCAGCTGAAAGGACAGAGACTTAGTGTACAGAGTTGTGCAGGAATGAGTCCTAAAATCCAGATAATTAGTTAGCATTTAGCCACAGCCACGCCCCTTCACTGGACTTGTAATGCACTGAATTAATGCAAACCCTCCCTCTTACTCCTGTATCTGTGTGTGCAATGATAGTTGCTCCATCAGCCTGCAGCCGAACTGTGTGACCCGATAAAAGGGCGTAGCGTTGTCTCCACCCTCTCAGCAGAACTGGATGGAGGCCAACTCCTGGACTGCTGCTCCCTCTCACTTCTCTCTTTGACTCTCTCTCTCTCTCTCTCTCTCTCTTAATCAGTACCAGTCTCTCTCTCTATACCCAGCAGCCCTCTCTCTCACTCTCTCCCCCTCCTCCCCCTCTGAGTCCCACACAGCAGCCATTGTTCTGTGAGGAGCTCCACAGCTGAGCCCTGGGTGGCTGTCGAGGAGAGTGGGGTGCTCTGAGAGAAATCTAGGGCGTGATATGAAAACGCCTCAGCAGCCGTGGTTGTTCAGAGAAGTCCAGTTTACTGAGCTGAATCAGATCAGAGCTGCAGCAAACTGAAAATGCTTTTCTTTGTGTGCAACTGTTGGTGAAATACGGCTTTAGTTGGTGATTTCATCCTTTGACCCAGAGTCTGAAATGTTGGCTGAATGTTTGATGAGACAAAGTGAAATCTTTAGCTTTCCCTGGCAGCACACAAGAAGGCTCTGTGAAGGAATGCTTTGTACCACAATGCACCCTGGGAGTTGTAGTTAAGTTATCTCCTCAAGCTTATTTGATGTACATAGGCTTGCACTTTTTACTTTTCGTACAAAACGCAACGATATACAATAAAGGTGCAACAAAAAGACAGAATTTAAAACAAAATCATACACAGAAAATGCACTAAAGACAGGGATTTCAAGAAGTGGTCAAGCAAAGATAGATAACGAGCAACATCTAACATTTAAAAAAAGTTAAAAAACATTTTAATTGTGACTTTAGTGGTGAGTTTTCAAATGCCATTTAAATTGAAGCACTAAGGCGTTTACTTTTGGGACTTTTAACTTAAAAGACCAGCTATAGAGAGGCGAAGTCCCGCCCATCTACTTCCGCCCCATGGGACCTTATTTTGGAAAAATTATGTATTGAAGTCAATGGAGAGAGAAGACGTATCTCTCGATCCCGTTTGAATTGAGCCATGAATTACACATATGATGTTTGTCAATCTTAAAAAATCATTTCCAAGTAAAAAAAAGTCACAGTTTGTCGTAAAACTGTTGAAATATAAGACTATGAAAAATACGTAACTAGAAAGACTACAAATCCCAGAGTCCCGGTCCCGCATGCTGGCTCTTAGGAACCGACTAACTCCCCTTGTGTGTATGTACAGCTCTCAACATGCCCAGACTTGGAGTGATTTTCACCTCTTTTAATACTTTCCGCCTCATTCTGAAAGAAAGAAGTGAAATGTGCCAACGTGACGGCCGTCTTGGTGTGTGGTGCAAGACGGGAGATGGAGTTCATTGAGCGGTTTCACACAAAAAAAAGTGTTACTTCACAGTTTTACGACACATTTTAAATGTTTTGACTTGCACAATTATCTTTTAAATTGACAAACATCATATGTGTAATTCGTGGCTCAATTCAAACGGGATCCAAAGATAATACTTTTTCTGAAATAAGGTCCCATGGAGGTCCACCGGAAAGGGAGGGACTTCGCCTCTCTATATAAGTTAATGGTACTGATAGTTTAACTCGAGCGATTTAAATCAGGAAGTATTCTCATCACTGTATGTGTGGAAAATGAATGTGAAATAACTTCATGTTCTTTGCACCCATATGATAAATATGAATATGTGTTGCCTTTAGTCCACTGCCATGTTCATGTAAAGACCATGTGACAGACGTTTTAAAAAACCATTTGCTGCTGTGTTTCCCTTGGTCGTGTGTTTTCAGCTAATTCAAATAAAACTAATGAGATCATTTCTGTGTTTGTGGGTCCTGCTGGCTTTCTAAACTCTCAAGCAGCATGCATTGACATACTTCACTTAAGCGTGATTACATTAGTCGAATTAATATCTCGGTTTGTCAATGAAATGAGTCCTGTGAAAGTCTGATTGAGTTGAGCTTATCATTTGACTCAGCAAAGGTCAGGAGTAAAAGTAATAATGAGTTACCAACAGCTATCCAATAATAATACTTGTCTTTAATTGGATACGATATTTTAAACAAGTGAAGCAGCAAAAAGGGATTCAAAATAAGGGAAATATACATAAAAATTAAGCATGAATAGGAAGTGCCACACACATCCCAAAGTACAATCAGCGTCCTAAGACTCTCTTTCTTCCCTCCGTGTCCCCTGCAGGTGGGTGAAGGTGAGGACTGCACGCAGACGACAGACCTGAGGGTGAAGACGGAGCCGGTGTGTAAGTCGGAGCCCGCCTCCCCCGACCCGCCCCCCGCTGAGGACCAGACCGAGCCCGTGGACCTGTCACTCAACAAGCCCCGCCCCTCCTCGCTCCCCTCCTCCGCCGCGGGCACCACCATGAACCCTGCCCCCAGCGGCATGGTGACACAAATGTCCGCTACACCCGTCCCCTCCACAATACAAACCATAGGCTCCATGGTAAATACAGTTTGCTCTTTTTCAATGGTGTGAATGAATGAGTCCCAAAACCTTGAAATTAGTCAGAATATTCCCTTGAAGTCAAACTGTTAAACACCTGAACTAAGAACATCCATAACATTCACCTGTTTGCAACTTACAAATCATGTATCACTTGTATATAGACTCTTATGGCACTATTTTATTGTATTTACTTGCACTATTTTATCTGTTTTATTGATAAACACCTTTTTTCTCTTTTTCAATGTTTTGAATGAATGAGTCCCAAACCCTTATAATGAGTCAGCATATTCCCTGGAAGTCAGATGTTTTTTTGTGATAAAAGCGGTGTTAACATGTAGGGATTATCCTGCTGACATTTTTTTTAAAAGTATCATATCATTATGTGTTTGCCGCTGATCTTAATTTTTGCAATATTCCCAAATCCGATGGAAGAATCTCCTTAGGCCAGAGACCTTTGCGATGCTAACTTCCGGAAAGGCCAATGAAAATATGTCTTCTCTGCACCACTCCATTGTGAGGCATGCAGCATACAGAGCAATTAATTTGCCAATTTAAGTTAAGTTTCGCAGTAGATGTAACACTCTTCCTCTTCCTCTTCCTCCTCCTCCAGGTCCTCTCTCCAGGCTCCATCTTGGCCACTCAGGGTGCCGGGGGTCAGCAGATCCTCCACGTCATCCACACCATCCCCTCCGTCAGCATGCCCAGCAAGGTGGGCCAGCTGCAGACCATCCCGGTGGTGGTGCAGTCGCTTCCTGTCGTCTACACCACCATGACGACTGACAGCGTCGCCACGGCAGCCATCACCGTGCCGCTCATAGGCAGCGACGGCCGCTCAGAAGGATCTGGTGAGTGTTGCTTCCAGTAAAAGCTTCTTTCCCACTACATACAAAACACACTTACATCCACCAACATCTGTATATATAGGATATACATATTTCTATAAGTATTTTTATATATATCGGTATTTTTGTATTCGGGATTGTGGGAATCAGTATTTCGATCTCTCTGTCTGTACAGTTGACTTTGACTTTGACTTAAAGGGGACCTATCATGCAAAATGCACTTTTGTACGTCTTTTCTACATGAATATGTGTCCCCGGTGTTCCAGGGAACTCACCAAGTGTCAGAAAACACAACCCTCTCTATTTTCCTCCATACCCAAATCTCTAAAAAAGGGGCTGCAACGGATCTGATAAAAACTGATCCAGATTTGAACACTGTCCTGACGTCAGGACGGTGGCGCTACGGCTATTAGGCCAACTCCACCAATCAGGAGGAGACCGCCACGGCCATTGCCGTTCGAAAGCGCTGGAGACGCTGTAGTACATATGCCAGGCCTGTAGATGGTGCTGTTCTCACTGAATCTGCCCTTGCTAAAACAGATCTAAAAAATGTCAAATTGAGCGAAATGAGGCATGGCTAAAATGCATGATCTGTTTGGTATTTAAAAAAATAAAAAAAAGTATAAATATGCCTTATATAGGTATGGTCCTACACTATATTATTCAAATATAGCATGATAGGTCCACTTTAAGTAAAAGGTTACAATCGTTGTTCATTTTCGTGACAAATGACACTGCATTAGCCACATTATTATCGGCTCTAGCTTCTATCAAAAGTGATGGGAAGATGACACCCAGTTATTATAAAATAAATCGAATCAACAGTGATTTGGACTCTTATATTGATTTATATTGTACCGAACATACAATAAATATTCTCCTCTCAAAGCCACTAGACTCCATTGAAGGAAAAAAAGTAGTTTTTCTTGTCGTAGTTCTTCTTGTTAGTCTTTCCACTGTTCCAACAATCACCAACTCGGGTTTGTGGGAAGAGACTAAATTAGTAACATATAAAAAACACATGAAAAAGGTAATAGACCATAAAGGACATTTCCCATTGGATTTAAAGGATTCAAAGACCTGTTTTGTCTTGTGTGCATGGACATCTTGAGTCTCGGGCTCTGCCAATAGAATTTGGGGGAAGTTACTTTTTAGAAAGTCCTGTACAAAAGAATGTTATGTTTAAGAAGGTGTGAGATCTCTGATTTCTATTTTTAAATCCCATGTTTTTACAAGTAAATGATTGGATTGTTTTGTTGTGAGGCAATTCAGATACCCAGATGTATGTTTATACACACACACACACACACAGTCACACACACACACACACACACACACACACACACACACACACACACACACACACACACACACACACACACACACACACACACACACACACACACACACACACACACACACACACCACACACACACACACACACACACACACAGGATGTTGGGAAGGTCCACTGCACAGGGAGGGAGTGGTTGTTTAAAGATCATGCAAGTCAATATCATTCAGGAAGAGGAAGGAGATGGTTGATTTATTTCCATACCTCTCCTTTCCCATTCTATTTATTCCTATCTTTGACTGTCACGCCCGCCATTGTTCGTCCCTGATCTGTCACTCCTGCCCACTCTGTTATTTCCAGGGCGCTCTCGGCCTCAGAGGAGTTCAGTGTGTCTCTTGAGGGACGGTTGGTGTGTGTTTGTGGTTAGTGATATGTTAGACTTGCCGTCTGTCGGCCTGTCTATCTTTGTCATTCTGGAAGCCGTCCATATGTGCCAGATGACCGATGCTGCCGTCTAAATTAGGAAACTTGGTGAAATGTTACACAGAAGTTCTACCTCATGAAAGTAAAAGTTATTGCTGTTCCCGATTGAAATGCACCTGTCAACATCTCAGCAGCTGATTCTCTCCAAGTCTCATGAATCAGAATGAGAGCACACACTGTTCGACACTGCTGAGTCACTCTCTGTCATTTTTTTTTACTTTTACCTGAGCTGCTACTCAAACACTCTGCCGTGACCTTTCTCTGACTCTGAGATGACGCAGTGTGTGAACAGGTGATCAATGCTGAAGGGACACGTGTTGTCATGCTGTCATCAAGTCAGACTTAGACCCCATTTACACGAGGACGAAACGGGTTGTATCCGCATAGTTTCTCTTGCGTATAGCCCTTTCATTTCCACGAGGCCGTAACAAAACGATAGGAACGGACCCCGCAAACGATAACGGGTCCCAAGGTGGATAGATCTGCAAACGGAGCGCTCTGGGGGGTCAAACGGCTCCGTGTAATCGCCTCTATACGATCATTTTCTGATAACGATGAAATAGCCCCGCCTCCGTCTCCCCACGTCTCCTGCTCAGATTTAAACTTTAACGGACATGTTGACCGGCGAAAAAAAATGTTAACGGAAACTCTGCCACATGGTCCCCTCGTCCCTTGGAAGAGGCGGAGAGGTGGGTGTTCTTCATCTGCTGGTGGACTGGTTAGTCCACCAGCAGATGAAGAACACCGGTGGACTCCACACGCCGTCCACCGCGGAGAATAAACAGAAGGGCAACCATGGCAACAATGCTCCGGGGGCGGGGTCTTCTTCGCTGCTTTTGGTGTATTTTGTGGCAGCAGCAGCGCCACTTACAGGCCTGGCATATGTACTACAGCGTTTCCAGCAGTCTCGTGTGAACGGACACGTTGAATGAATCGAACGCGTGTGAACGGAATACCTTTTTGAAAACGCATATGCGGCGTAAACGCAAATGTTCCCTTGAATCCAGTTGATTAGTGTTAAGAAACTGTGAACAGAGGGGTTAAAGGAGGCTGTGTAAACATGACGGGAAACTCTTCATTTGCTCAGGCTAGCTGGCGAAACGGGCCTCCACCCATTTGACAAACTGCAGTAAAGTCAGGAGAGGACTCTTTAAAGTAGAGACAATACATACTGATATACACCTGAACATCAGCAGGAGAGGACTCTTTATAGTAGAGATAATACATACTGATATACACCTGAACATCAGCAGGAGAGGACTCTTTAAAGTAGAGACACTACATACTGATATACACCTGAACATCAGCAGGAGAGGACTCTTTAAAGTAGAGATAATACATACTGATATACACCTGAACATCAGCAGGAGAGGACTCTTTAAAGTAGAGACACTACATACTGATATACACCTGAACATCAGCAGGAGAGGACTCTTTAAAGTAGAGACACTACATACTGATCTACACCTGAACATCAGCAGGAGAGGACTCTTTAAAGTAGAGACACTACATACTGATATACACCTGAACATCAGCAGGAGAGGACTCTTTAAAGTAGAGAAACTACATACTGATATACACCTGAACATCAGCAGGAGAGGACTCTTTAAAGTAGAGACACTACATACTGATATACACCTGAACATCAGCAGGAGAGGACTCTTTAAAGTAGAGACACTACATACTGATATACACCTGAACATCAGCAGGAGAGGACTCTTTAAAGTAGAGACACTACATACTGATATACACCTGAACATCAGCAGGAGAGGACTCTTTAAAGTAGAGACACTACATACTGATATACACCTGAACATCAGCAGGAAAGGACTCTTTAAAGTAGAGACACTACATACTGATATGAACCTGAAGATGAACAAAAGAAGTCCTCTGTAATTGATTAAGTGCAGTTGCCGCCTGTTCTTGTAGTCGTGTAGACACTCTTCTTTGTTGGTGCATGTCATCAGCCCACGTTCAACACTGATCGGAAACAAAGAGTGAAGATGTGAGCCTGGCAAGGGGAGTGAGGGGGGGGGAAGAGGGGAGACAGGAACTTTGATATGTTCTGTTTCCTCCTGTACCTGCTAAGCGAAACAAGCAGGAGGCAGCATGACTTGTTCTGTTCCTGTGGAGCTGTGTGGGAGGGAAACGGATGGAGGGAGGAGGGAGGGGGGAGGGAGGGGGGAGGGGGGTGGATAGGTAGACACTGATGGAGGAAAGGAGTCAGACTGGGTGGGGGGGGGTGTCGGGGTGAGGAGGAGAGGTTTCAGGGGTCGAGAGAAGAGGAGATGGGCTGTTCTGTCTTTGAACAGTGAAGGGGTCGGGGGTTTTAATTGTCTCCGGAAACAAAGAACACTTCTCTTGCTGTGTGACCCTCTCCATACCAACACACATACTCCACCCAAATTCCTTGCGTCACCCCCTCACCCCTCCTCACCCCGCCTCACCCCTCCTCGCTCTCTCTCTGGACTTTAAACCTCATGGCGGCCACATTCCTGCAGACAGATGGGAGGAGGGGGGTCGGCTTTTTTCTTAGCATTCACTAAGATTTTTGACCAAAGAGTTAAAAATCACACTCTGAATATGCAGTGTTGGGAGAAGTACTCAGATCTTATACTTGAGTAAAAGTACCAGAGTGTAGGAATGTAAAGTAACTAAAGGTATTAAATACATGTAGTGGAGTAGAAGTACAAATAAAATAAAATGGAAATACTCAAGTAAAGAAAAGTACCTCAATATTATAATTAAGAACAGTACTTGAGTAAATGTACTTAGTTACTTTACACCTCTGTTCTTTGTTTGCTATTGTAGTGTTTTTTAGCTAAAGTAGTTTTATTTCTGACGAAGCAAGAGACTAACTGAA